GACAACAAAGAGATTGAGTATCTAAAATCATGAGGAATTTCTGCAAAGTTGTTGATAGAATAACTTGAAGTGATGATTGATAAGAAGACTTGAAAGTCCGAGACCACATGAAGATGTGGGATCTCCATCGTCGATGCTGAGGCGATGGCTGCAACCATGGCTAGAGCTTCCACGAGACTAGCAGTAACCGAATGAGAATCTTGTTTAACCTCCAAACTGAAGTCCAAGATTTTCTTCCCTGCTATAAAACAATTTCCACCAAAAGGAGAATTTAATAGAACATAACACTCTACCAAAGAGTAAATATGGCAATTCTCTCCCACAAACACACAAGGCAGTTGAGTGAAAGAACCCTTAACAAACACCAAGGGATTTGTGAACAAAATCTTAGGAATAGAGACTCTATCAGTGAGAGTAGGGTTGATTTCAACTACAAAGTTTGCATTCTCCACCCGAGAGATATGATTACTAGACACACAATTCCCTTGAAAGACTCTAACAAATCTATTAACCATCTCAGCTCCAGCACAACGAAATCTAGGACCTTGAGAGAAGGATAACGAGAGGCTAGAGACATACCTAGTCGAGAGAAGCTCAAATCGGGACACAGAACAGATCAGTAAGTAGATCTGACTTTGAAACCTGCACACAGTAGTAAAGGATCGCATAGAAGTGATATATACGCCATCAAAGAGCACAAGGTTATGCACGACTATACCAGAGGCTGCCAGACTGAAGATGAAGAATAAAATACTGGTGAACCCGAATCTATATCTAAATTCAGGAGAAGCGTTGAGGGGAAAGATGACGGTGGAGGAGAGATGGGAGATTGGTCGGGAAAGGAAGAGTGGTCGAGGATGGAGGGTGGGTCAGGAGGATCAGGCGAATCTGGTAGAGGAGAGTCACTAGCGATGGCAGCGGCGACCATGGGAGGAGGCTCCTTAGGGTTTTTTAGCATTGCCCAGTTGGTTATTATTATTATTATCTAAATATCTAAATTATGTAATTCCTTGTACTTGTACATGAGCGAGAGAATATATGTTGTAGCTGATCATGAGAAAAATCATGATTAGTCCAATAGTTTTATACAAATTTTTTTATCGTTCCCAAATTATATGATTATGAGGAAGAAACCGACGATGTCTTACGTAACAATTTTTCTTCCCATGGCGAAGAAGAAACTATGTAGCATCGTAATTACTTTACAGATAAACTATTAGACTAATTGCACTTTTCTTCATGATCAAAAGGGAGGCTACAACAACTATTCTCTTGCTCAAGTACAAGTACAAACAATATCGTA